ACCAAGCCACATCTGTGACAACTAATATGACTAATATTAGTTTGTGACTGCTAATATGTTTATTGTTTATTGCTACTGCTCTATGTGGCTGTATCTAGGCTGATACTAGGCTGATACTAGGCTGCATCATGTATGATACAATATCTATGTATCTACCTTATCTTCATAATTCAACCTCAATGTGCAATAACCTGTCACACAACCTGTGTAGTATATGTCAATTATGTGATATATATATATATATATATATATATATATACTTTGTATAAAAAAAATATAAATATATATATATATATATATGTGTGTGTGTATTATGTGCTTTTTAGCTTATATTACTACCTTGAAATAACTGTTCATTTAAATTCATCCTGCTTGCACCGTTATATTCTACCATGTTGTTGTTTACTATCTCTCTTTAAGACATTGTAAATATAATTACTTTTCACTTTTTGGTACTTTATTTTTGTACCCTTATTGCATATTTTAGTATTTCTTGTTTGTTTGTTCTTTGATTTTTAGCAAGTCAAATCAGTTCTTCTCATCCTGAGCATTTCATTGTACTGTTGACCTTGTGTTAACCTTGATATGACAAATAAACACAACTTGAACTTGAACTTGTTCCTCAGTCTAGTGGTTCTACACTTCATGCTCCTCAACCTCCTTCCTGAGGGGAGTGGGGCAAAAAGTGTGTGTTCTGGGTGAGTGGAGTCCTTCATGATGCAGGTGGCCCTCTTCCTGCATCTGGAGGTGTAGATGTCTGTGATGGTGGGGAGGCTGACTCCAACATCTTCTGTGCAGCCTTCACCACTCTCTACAAAGCTTTTCTTTCTGCAGCTGTGCAGCCTCCATGCCACACGTTGATGCTGGAGCACAGGATGCTCTCCACTGCACACCTGTAGAAGGAGGTGAGGACGGAGCTTCCCAGTCCAGCTCGTCTCAGCCGTCTGAGGAAGTAGAGTCTCTGAGGAGCTTTCTTGATCAGGCTGGTGGTGTTGTTGCTCCAGCTGAGGTTGTCATTCATGTGTACACCCAAGTACTTGAAGCTGGAGACCACTTCCACCGCAGATCCTCTTATGTTCAGGGGGGTGTAGGTGTTTTTGTTCCTTCTGAAGTCCACTACCATCCGCTTCATCTTCTTCACATTGATGTGAAGGTTATTCTCTTAGCACCAGCTCTCCAGGTGTTCCACCTCTTGCCTGTAGCTGGACTCATCATTGTTTGTGATGCATCCCACCACCGCTGTATCATCTGCAAACTTTACAATGTGACAGCCTGGATGGGTAGCTGCACAATCATATGTGAGCAGAGTAAACAGGAGGGGGCTCAACACACATCCCTGAGGAGAGCCAGTGCTGAGGGTTATGGTGGAGGAGGAGAAGTTGTGGATCCTCACTAACTGTGGCCTGTTTGTTAAAAAGTCTAGTACCCAGTTGCAAATGGAGGGGCTTAGTCCTAGTGTGGATAGTTTGTCCATCAGGGTTTGGGGGATCATGGTGTTGAAGGCAGATGTGAAGTCCACAAAGAGCATACGGACGGAAGAGTTTTTCTGCTCCAGGTGGTTGAGTGCAGTGTGGACCTCTGTTCCTCTGTTGATCGGTTCTCACGGTATGCGTACTGATGAGGGTCCTCGTTGATGTTAATGGTTGTTTTGATGCGAGTCATGACCAGTTTTTTGAAGCATTTAGCGACTATCGGGGTGAGGGCCACTGGCGGATAGTCATTCAGACCAGTCACTGTAAAGCTTTTTGGAACTGGGATGATGGTGGCAGTCTTCAGGCAGTTGGGAACTGTCTCCAGGGTAAGTGAGGTGTTAAAGATGTCTGCAAGCACCTCGCAGAGCTGATCAACACATTCCTTCAACACTTTTCCAGGGATGTTGTCTGGGCCGGTTGCCTTGTGCAGATTAATCCTCCTGAATCGTTACTTCGGCTGAGGTCACGTTGAGATGCTCTTCATCCAGTGGTGAGGTGAGTCTGGTGCTGGGTGGTCTGTTCAGGTCTTCAAAGCGTGCATAGAACTTGTTGAGGGCATCAGGCAGAGATGGGTCTTTGGGGCATTGTTCACTCCTTCCTTTATAATCTGTTATACACTAAATGCCCCTCCACATGCTCCCAGGGTCTTGTGAGGTGAATTGACCCTCAATCCTCTGTGCATATGTGGTCTTGGCCCTTTTAATACCAGCAACCAGCTCTTTCCTTGTCCTACTCACCTCCTGTGAGTTTCCAGATCTGAAGGCAGTGTTCCAGGCTTCCAGCAGGGTGCGCACCTCTGCATTCAGTCAAGGTTTTGAATGATGCAGGGCCCTCTTCCTGCATCTGGAGGTGTAGTGTCTGTGATGGTGGGGAGGCCTGGTCATCCCTACGGACAGAAAATGCAGGTTGGTTCCACAAGAGAGGAGCCTGGTAACTGAAAGATCGTCCTCCCATTCTGCTTTTGGAAACTCTAGAAACTGCAAGTAAGCCTGCAGTCTGAGAGCGAAGTGCTCTGTTATGAAAATATGGAACAATAAGACCTGTAATATAAAATGGAGCTAGGTTGTTGAGAGCTTTGTAGGTTAGAAGTAAGATTTAGAATTAAATTCTGGACTTGACAGGGAGCCAATGGAGAGAAGCTAAAACTGGAGATATATGATCTCTCCTACTAACTCCAGTTAAGACTCTGGCAGCAGCATTTTGGATCAACTAAAGACTTTTTAAAGACGTATTTGGACACCCAGATAATAAACCATTACAATAGTCCAGTCTAGATGTGACAAATGCATGGACCAGTTTTTCTGCATCATTTTTAGATGTTTCTAATTTTAGTGACATTACGCAGGTGGAAGAAGGAGGTTCTAGTAACCTTTTTTAATGTGGGAGATAAAAGACACGTCCTGATCAAAAATAACACCAAGATTTTTAACATTAGAGCTGGAGGACAGATTAATGCATCTAAGGAGGGAGAAAGACTGAAAAATTCATTCTCAGACTTGCCTGTATTCAAAAGCAGAACATTTAGGGTCATCCAGGTTTTATGTCTTTAAGACAGCTTGCTTATAAAAACAAACCATTTGTCTAAGTTAGCAGAAGAAAGCAGAAAGAACACACATTTGCTGAATTAGGTTAAAAAAAAAAACAGAAATGAGCACAAAACAATAGCTGAAAAGTAGCTGAAAAAGCAGAAAGAAGCTTGAACTATACCAGAAGGAAGAGGAAAGAGCTGAAATGAACTAAAAATGTGGAATTAACTGAAAAAATTTAAATTAGCATCCATCCATTTTCTTTACCCGCTTATTCCATTTTGGGTCACGGGGGTCGCCGGTGCCCATGTCCAGCAATCACTGTGCGAGGGGCGGGGTACACCCTGGACGGGTCGCAAGTCCATCACAGGGACACATAGAGACAAACGAGACAAACAAAAATTCACTCTCTCACTCACACCTAGAAACAATTTTAGAGTTACCAATCAGCCTAACATGCATGTTTTTGGTCTGTGGGAGGAAACCGGAGCACCCGGAGAAAACCCACGCATGCACGGAGAGAACATGCAAACTCCACCCAGAAAGGCCCCTGGACCGGGGTTTGAACCAGGGACCTGCTCGCTGTGAGGCAGCAGCTCTACCAGTTGCACCACCGTGCTGCCCACTGAAAAACATACGGAAGATAAATGGATCACAATTGTGTGAATGCTTCATAAACATTCACACAATTATTCAAGCTGCTGCCAGTGGCTCGTCATGGTGACCAAAAATATATAAGAGAAATACTTTAATGCTTGTATACCAACACCCTAACTTAGACTTGTTCTTCCATTTCAGTTTCAGCATGTTTTTTTAAGCTAATTTCAGCTGTTTTTCAGCAAGTTCTGCAATAAGCAGTCACACAGCATTTTTGCAGGAAATGCATTTCCTCTAGTTTATTTTGATCTTGGTTCATTCACTTCATGCTACTTTTACCAATTCATCTATTACATATCTTAGATTATTACAAATTTGATGTAGTTTTGGACAGTAGGTGCATCAGCACCCTTCAAAATGTCATCAGAAGAGTGATACTATTGATAGTGGTTTTATTGTTCGGTTGAATGATGACGTATTCAGTTGTCATTTGAAAATAACATTGTTTTATTATTACAGTACAAATGACTGCAGTTTTGAAGATAAAACATTAACAAAAATAAAATTTGGACTATATAATATTATAGCAACGATGTTTGTTTGTTTGTTTTTAGTAAAAGTACTGACTTTTCACCCTGGCTTAGGATTTAAAAATGTATTAATATAGTTTACTCACAGACTGATTTCATTCAACCAATTTACTTTTGTGGTTCTAACAATGAGAAATCCAAGCTGAATTCTCTGGCATTGTTATCCAACATGTACTTTTTATGGTGATTTTTCATTTATTTATTGTAACAAAACTATTCTACATTAAACCTGACATCTGATCTTCAAACGGAAGTTAAACATGTATACTTTTATATGACCATGTGCCCTGAACTGAACTGGTGTAACACTCCAAAAGCACTTTGCTATTTTAACAGAATGTTCTGTAATGGCTTTTATTTAATTGTAACAAAAAAATGTTGAAACCAAATAAACTTGTTGGTCTTATGTTCCTCAACATTATTATTATCATTAAAGATGCGCTATTTATAATGCGTCTCTGACCAATTTAATGTATTGTTGCAGTGACACGTGGCTGTACAGACATAAACGAAAGAGGCTGTCATACTCTCCCGGTGTTACAGTGACATTAATATAAAAAAATCAAACTTTAACGTGCTGACTGAGATTTTCTCTTCTTAAACAAACGCTAAATTTTAGGAAGTGGTGTGCCCGTCGCTCAGCCCTGACCAATAATATCTAGACACGACTTTCAGCCATAGACTTATGTTGAACAATCTGATTGGACGGTGTGTACGAAGAGCTCTTCGGTGATTGGTCGACGCGTGTGCGTGGTGCGCTCCCATTGGTCAGTCTTCACGAGTTCAGCGGAGTGGGCTCGTTTAGTGGAGAAGTAGTTCCACGGTCGCTGTTGTAAAGCCCAGTGCTGTCCGTGCTGCCTGCCCGGCTTTTGTCCTTAAAGCTGAAGACTCACAGCGTCAAACAAGCAGTATCTCAAAATGAAACGCGTCTGGTTCATAGGCCTCCTTTTCGCACTTCTAGCCTTTGGTGAGTAGCGGGAAGAAATGTCCTCTTTACCTCACTTCTTCATGCTTTAAACGGTTTAGCATTTAAGCTAACATTTAACGTGCGTTTGTGCTTCGCTGCTCCATAAAATAGCATTTTTCTCAGATCTGCTTTGTACTTTTTGTTTTGTTATAATTCCCATAACCCTTTTTATCTCTTAAATCGTATAAGGTCATTCATTAAAGCCGTCTTTCCAGAAGTTTCTAATGGAAACGAACAGGTTGACGTTGCCAAAATGGCAGCAAACGTTCATGTCTCAGGAACTCCTCCGTTATCTTCTAGCAGAAATCCTACAAATGTTAATATTAAGTTGGCTCATTTGAAATGGTTGCTGCTGCACACATGCAGATTTCAAATTGTGGCTAACGCTGGTATTTTAAAAGTTAAACATTTTTTACTGTAAGAATCTTCAGATGAATTGATTTTTTTAAATGTTTTAGCTGCTGTGAGGGCTGAGGATGAAGTTGATGTGGATGGAACAGTGGAAGATGATTTGGGGAAGAGCAGGGATGGCTCCAGAACAGACGACGAAGTGGTTCAGAGGTTGGTAATTTTATTTTTCTTCAATGAACTGTTAATTGTTACAGCTGACGATCACCACTACTTTCAGATAGCACAAGGTCAGCATGACCAAGCTTGTGTACACAGATGAACCAGGGCAACCTTGCCCAGGCTTGACATGACCGAACTGTAAAGGGTCAACTACTGCTGTTTAATGTCCAGACCAGATGTGTGCACTCTTTTCTTACCTGTGTTTCTGCTTCTGTGTCTCAGAGAAGAGGAGGCTATCCAGCTGGATGGGTTGAACGCAGCTCAGATCAAGGAACTCAGGGAAAAGTCTGAAAAACATGCCTTTCAGGCTGAAGTCAATCGAATGATGAAGCTCATTATCAACTCTCTTTACAAGAACAAGGAGGTACAAAAACACTGATTCTGTGTAGCTCTTTTCTTTGTGAAAACCTAGTCTCACTTCTAATCTTTCTGTTTGCAGATTTTCCTCAGGGAGCTGATTTCTAATGCTTCCGATGCTCTGGATAAGATCCGCTTGTTGTCTCTCACCAATGAAGAAGTGATGTCCACCAATGAAGAACTGACCATCAAGATAAAAGTATGCATATGAAACTGGGAGTGGCACTCACTACTAGCGATGTAAAAACTCTCATGCGTTTGTAACTCACTTGTTTGGTTTTTTTTACCCCCCAGTCTGATAAGGACAAGAACATGCTCCACATCACCGACACTGGTATTGGAATGACCAAGGAGGAGCTGGTGAAGAACTTGGGTACAATCGCCAAGTCTGGCACCAGCGAGTTCCTCAACAAGATGACAGAGATGCAGTCTGAGGGCCAGTCGACATCGGAGCTGATCGGACAGTTCGGTGTGGGTTTTTACTCTGCTTTCCTTGTTGCTGACAAGGTCATTGTCGCATCCAAGCACAATAATGACACTCAGCACATCTGGGAGTCTGACTCGAATGAGTTCTCGGTCATCGAGGACCCCCGCGGGGACACACTGGGCAGAGGAACCACCATTTCGTGAGTTTTCATTTGTTTTGTTTTGCTGTGAAATAACATTCTATAAACTGTTCATTAGAAAATTATGTTTGGCCGTCTGTTCATCCTAACAGACTAGTCCTTAAGGAAGAGGCCTCAGACTTCCTGGAGCTGGAGACCATCAAGAATCTGGTCAGGAAATATTCCCAGTTCATCAACTTCCCCATCTATGTTTGGGCAAGCAAGGTGATTACCTCTGACATGCTCTTTTACACTTTGACTTGATTTAATCCATGTCTGTATGGAAGTAAACAAATATATTTTCTTAACTTGCAAGACTGAGACGGTTGAAGAGCCCATTGAGGAAGATGCAGCAGAACCAGAGAAAGAGGCGTCTGAGGATGAGGCTGAAGTCGAGGAAGAGGATGAAGACAAAGACAAGCCAAAGACCAAAAAGGTAATGCGTTCAACTTCAAACACTATTTTGTATGCATATTAGCAGTTATCATTTTATTCTTATCGCTGCTAATTGGGTAAATGACCTACTGGTGGTGCAGAGGTTGGAGGGTGGGCCTGTGATTGGCGGGTCGCCGGTCGACTCAGACTGACGTCATAATGTGGGTGGGAAAGGTGAAACACCCACACCTGCCTCCACCCTTAATTGCTTCACTCTGGGCTCATGAGCAAGTCCCTTGACCCCCACCAGCTGCTCCCCGGACACCCTGGATGGCAGCTCTGCTTCACGTTGGTGCTCACATGCACATTAGGGGAAAAATGCAGAGAATTAATTTCACCATTGGAGCTAGAGTACTGTACAAAAAAATAAAATGCAAACTACCCTTGAGTTACTAAGATGTGCAGTGACTTATCCATTTATATTGTGAAGGGGTTATTTACGGTAGTGGCAAGTTGGAAAACATAATCTGCTGAAATTAACCAATCTCTGTGCTGTTATTTTGAAAATGTGTTTTGCAGGTTGAGAAGACCGTGTGGGACTGGGAGCTGATGAACGACATCAAGCCCATCTGGCAGAGACCAGCCAAGGAAGTTGAGGAGGACGAGTACAAAGCGTTCTACAAAACCTTCTCTAAGGTATAAACATGTTCAGTTGAACTTTGTCATTCTGCGGTGGAGCTCGATGCAGTGGTTTCCTCAGATCTGATCAATGTTTTGCATGCCATCAGGACAACGATGACCCGATAAGTCACATCCACTTCACCGCTGAGGGCGAGGTTACCTTCAAGTCCATCCTGTTTATTCCCACGTCAGCCCCTCGTGGCCTGTTTGACGAGTACGGCTCCAAAAAGAACGATTACATCAAGGTTAGTCACCTGAAGGATATTCAGGATGAATTTAAAGGACTGGCTTTGAGGTTTTATTTTGCAACTTTTGTTTCCCAGCTGTTTGTCAGAAGAGTTTTCATCACAGACGACTTCAACGACATGATGCCCAAGTACCTGAACTTTGTCAAGGGAGTGGTGAGTCGCTGCTGGTTGGAAGATGCACACCGTACAGTATATGGTGTTCCTGCTCGTCTCGTTTTAAATTTGCCTACATTGAGATTAAGAGGACTTTGTTTTGCTAGGTCGACTCTGATGACCTTCCTTTGAACGTGTCCAGAGAAACTCTGCAGCAGCACAAACTGCTCAAGGTAAACTTTAAACATGAATGCAGCTCCTTCTCTGTAAGAGGCTGTGTTTTTAATTTTATTTAGTTAGCTGTTTATCGTTCATAGCTTTTTATTATTTTTAATCTGGTCAGTCTTATTCTAGAAGGATAAGGACTACATTTAAAAAAATTTCTTGTATGACTTGTGTGTTCAGGTTATTCGCAAGAAACTTGTCCGTAAAACTTTGGACATGATCAAGAAGATTGCAGAGGAACAGTACAATGAGAAGTTCTGGAAGGAGTTTGGAACCAACATTAAACTCGGTGTCATTGAGGATCACTCCAACAGGACCCGTCTGGCCAAGCTGCTCCGCTTCCAGACCTCGCACAGCGACACCGTCCTGTCCAGCCTGGAGCAGTATGTGGAGCGCATGAAGGAGAAGCAGGACAAGATCTACTTCATGGCTGGCACCAGCAAGAAGGAGGTGAGTGTCTGTGGTGAGGAGTGTGGTGATGAAGGAATGTGACTGGAGATAAACTGATGTGACTTTTTGCCTACAGGCTGAGTCTTCTCCTTTTGTCGAGAGGCTGCTGAAGAAAGGTTACGAGGTGATCTACCTGACCGAGCCCGTGGATGAGTACTGCATTCAGGCGCTGCCTGAGTTCGATGGCAAACGCTTCCAGAATGTGGCTAAAGAGGGTGTCAAATTTGAGGAGAGTGAAAAGGCCAAGGAGAGGAGGGAAGCTCAGGAGAAGGAGTTTGAGCCTCTCACCACCTGGCTGAAGGAGAAATCTCTGAAGGACAAGGTATTGTGATGTTCATGCCAGGGACGACTGACGCCATGAAGAGATTATAAATTTGCCCATTGCTAATCTGTTTTTATTTTTCTCCTTAACAGATTGAGAAGGCGGTTCTTTCTCAGAGGTTGACAGATTCTCCATGCGCTTTGGTTGCCAGTCAGTACGGTTGGTCAGGAAACATGGAGAGGATTATGAAGGCACAAGCTTACCAGACGGGCAAAGACATTTCCACAAGGTGTGTATCAAGTCTGACTGTTGTACTGTTCACCATTTCTACTTTAAGCTTATGTTAATTCTCCTCTCGCCCTCAGTTATTACGCCAGTCAAAAGAAAACACTAGAAATCAACCCCAAACATCCTCTGATCAAGCAGATGCTCAGCAGAGTCACTGTAAGTCTCTTTGGTCTTTATTCAAATGAACCAGCTCTGATCTTAAAGGTGGAGTGATCATGAAGATGAACTGAATTTCTCATGCTCAGGCTGATGCTGAGGACCAGACTGCATCAGATCTTGCAGTGGTTCTCTTTGAGACGGCCACGCTGCGCTCAGGATACCAGCTCGCTGACACAAAATCTTACGGAGACAGAATAGAGCGAATGCTCCGACTGAGCATGAACATACCTCTGGACGAACAGGCAAGTTGATGACGGCTGTCTCCGTGTGCACGGCAGTTTAGGTCATGGTTGTTAAAACGATGTTACTGTTGCAGATTGAAGAAGAACCTGAAGAAGAGCCGGAGGAACCAGCTGAGGAGGACTCTGAAGATAAAGAGGAAGTTGTAGATGAAGAAGACGATGAAACGGTGAGACGGTCCTCTTCACATGTTGTGAAATATGGCAGTCTGTTCTGGATGCAACAGGTGTTGAATCTTCTGCTTCTGGTTTGCAGACGACAAAAAAAGATGAACTGTGAAGCACTGAGTGGGAGAACGTGTAACGGAGCAGGGACCTGTCCTGTTCCAGTGTGGCCGACGTCCTGAAGTTGGGTTTATTTTTAAGGCGGATGTTTGTTTTATTTTATTTTTTTTACATTCCCCATGACTGTAAATTTGTTAATATTTAACTGAACTGTTTACGAAAAGATGCAATTCTGTTTGTTGATCAAATAAATGTTACCAAAAACACATTTTACTGTGATTTACCATTATTGGATTTTGTACCAGGATGACTGAGCATGAACTTGGATGTCTTGAACCACTGGGGCGGCTGTGGCTGAGTGGTTGCAGTCGTCCTCCAATGCGAAAGTTGTGGATTCGAATCCACCAGCAGTCACATGTCGAAGTGTCCCTGAGCAAGACACTGAACCCCTCAAAGCCTCTGTGTGTCCCATCAGTGCATGAATGTGATAAAGCTCTGATTAGTCTCTTTAGAATGATTTGTTCAATTAGCTTTGTAGAGATCTAGTAGAGAGCTGTATGAATGGGTACATGAGGACACAGATTGTAGTATAAAGTACTTTGAGTATCTTGAAATAAGATAGAAAGGTGGTATATAAGTACAGTCCATTTACTGTGGCTGCCTGGGAGGATTTGATGGGGGACAACAGCCCCCAGAAACCATCTTATCACCAGCAAACTGGTCCACTAAAGGAGTGTACTGCTTAGTGGGGAAAAATGTTTACTTGGCACTCAAGCAGATCTCCAGACAGAGGGAGAAATGTCTGCCACAAAAAATAAACTGTCCAGATGACCTGATTGACCACTGTTGGATTTTGTACCTGGCTGATTGAGCATGAACCTCGGAACTTTTTTTTTTTTTTTTGTCTTTATATACAACAGTGGGGGAAAGAGGCTGCATTACAGTTTAAATTTATTTAAAAATGAACAATTGTTGGATCTTGACAGACTTCAGGATTATCTGAGCACCAGTTTAAATTGCTTAAAGGTGTCTGGAAGTATAAATCCTCTTGAATCTTGTGCAGAAGTAAAAATATTTCCAGTAATGGTACAATAATCGTTGGGCTCCTTTGAGATTTTGACGTGTACATGTATTAATGGTAGTATTCTAGTAGTGAGTCCATGTCTGCTTCCACAGTGCACATACTGCATGTATCTGGTTAGTTCTGGTGGCTTCTTGGTGTCAGATGTATCATCTAATCAAATGATCCTGGCATGCATGTATCAAGCTCCAGCATGCTCAGTCTCAGAATGTGACTCTGCCCACCACATAATGCACAAAGTTCTGGGCTTTAGGTAAGTTTAATTTTAGAACATGGTATAAATCCCTTTAATTGTCCTAATATGGGGAAAAACTCAATATCTGAAAAAGGGTGCATTAATTTTTTTTCCACAATTGTAGCGATATCTGAGTCTTAATTTTCCACTTATTTAAAACGTGATGCCATGAAATGCTGTGGGGTTTTGGGGAGAACCTAAAATCTAAAGGGCACATTTCAGGATTTATTAGAACTCAAAAGCTGTTTGACCTTTCGATTACTAAATATCTCTGAAAGTACAAAAATATCCACAGAAATAATGTACACTTAAAAATGATATGCTTTTTCAAGGGTTTATGATTGCATGATTCGTGGCGGTGGTGGTGGGGGGGGGGGGGGGGTCGTTTGTTTTACTTAAATAAAATTGATATTAAATCAGAGTATAAACCAAATTTTGAAAACAGAAACACGGTGCACTGTAAACTAATGACCAATAGGCGTCGCTGTTGCTTAAACAAGAACATGATCAACCACTGACAAACCACATAAATGTTTCAATTGGAACAATCAACACATCAGATACAAAAATCTATTTTTTTAAAACCTGTGGTTTGATAACAGCATAATTCTAGTATCTCAGCTACTTAATGATAATGGGAATTTGCTACTCTGATTTCTTGCAGACATTTAATATTCCTGTTACCCCAAAATAATTTGATCTAGTAATGAATACTATTCTCTCTGGTGTTCTAACTTTATTAAAAGATGCTGAGAAACCAGCTGTTGTTCCACCTTTTGACCCCTTGATGACACCAGTTGTTCGTTTATGCTTTTCAGTCAAATCCAAAAATAATAATCGTAATACTGGGTCATTATTTCAAGCAGATATTACCACTATCCCCTATGTTGTTCATTACTGGGCTGGATTTGTAAATGGGCTGAACTGGGTCAATGTGTGGAAACTGCCATATAGATATTTAGTGATAAACAAAGTAAGAGAAGTTTCTTATAAATGAATCTACAGGTACCACCCGGCCAAGCAGTACGAAAGACATTTGTGTGAAGTGCTCTCTGTGAGTCTGAACCTGAGACCATGAACCTGAACCTGTTCTGGCTTTGTCACAAAACTTCCACCTTCTGGAAACAAGTCATCTCATTGATCCAGAGAAAGAGCGACTCTAATTTTTGTTTAAGTTGGAACAATGTACTGTTTGGAGTCCATGATACCAAAACCAAAAAACAAAGAACTATATATCATAAATTTCATCATACTTTTAGGGATATATAATATACATAAATCAAAGGTTAGTCACTCTGTTCCCTCTTTTCAGGCCTTCCACATGGAGTCTGAACATTGTAACCTTTCGTGACTCAAGCAACAAGAAAGCTATAAAAACGTTTGATTTGTGCTCTTTATTTAATGTGTTTATTTGAATAATCCCCCTGCCTTTTGTTCTTTTGTTTTTCATTGAATGTAGAATGATAACTGTCGTGTAATGTTTTACTTTATTTAATTTAATTTAATAAACAAAAAACTCTGTCCTGACTTATTTAATGTGTGAAAATTGATAGTTTAGATTCTAACTCCGAAGTTCAGCTACGAAAATGTAAAAATTATTCAAAATTATTCAAATTAAAAACCTGACTGCTTTTTAATAGAGTCCAATAATTTGAACTTTTTTTTTTGTCATCTCTGTGCATGAATATAAGTCTTCAGGGCATTTAAGTCTCTTTAGGGTGGTACTAGTATTTTTATTGTCGGAGATCCTGCACACATGATTAAAGCATTTTATTGTGAGAATTTCCATTAATATGATTTATGTTCTTGAAATAAAGATGCCATTTAGCCATTTATTTAAGATAACCAAGTTTAGGTCTGTTTATGATGCCAGTTTTTAATCAAGGATCCACGCAGGTCGGAAGGTTTTCAGGTGAAACAATCTCTCAAGTCACATGGCAAGTTTTTTATTTTGTTTCCTTTTATTTATTTAAAAGGACCGTGCACATTCATCCATATTTCTGCATTACACAGCAATATAAATGCATCTGCATTAGCTAAATTTCATCTGTTATTCTCAGGCAGGTGAAAATAATACAAACATTTCATTAAACGCATGCACAAAATACAGCTGATGACACTCAGCTGTTTAAGTTATAAATGCTTTGTTACATTAAAGACATTGTGAAACAAAGTGAATAAACCTGAGTCTGATAGAAACTATAAACTCTTCAGCTTCAATAACGGAGTCGGCTGCAGCTCAAAGGCAAATTGAGGGTGTTTTGTGTTCATGTGTGTTGTGTTAGGAAAATATCTTGTGCACCAGGGAACAATTTCATGAACCTCTCAACATCAAGGTTGTCATCGCATCACATGAGGTGGAACGAAATTATGTACTCAAGGTCCCAGTTACAAACTAAAATAGCAGAAATATAAATTATAAAAAGAAACAGTTTGCAATAACACAATAAGATGCATAAACATCTTATCTTACATATTTATCTGATTAAACATTAGAGTCACAGTTAAAATGGTTGCTACAGTTAAACAACAAACACAAAATGTCTACAATTCAATCAGCTTTACAAATATTACTTAAATTTGGTGTTTGTAGCTGACAGTTCACTGACGCTTTACAGACGGTGAGATCTCGCGATATCTCGCGACATCTCGTGCACAAAGCTTTTTTTTTATCAGTAGCCAAAATGGCAATAATTTCGTCATTTCTCATCATAAAACTGTCATAAAAGGCGGCGGGCGATATGCATTTCTTCTTGCAATGCTGGGCCTTTAATTGCCCATGTCTTTATATGTAATAACCTCCTGTGCTTCTTGCTCCTAAACGCTTGTTCTGTGACCATAATCAGAATAATCAGAGAAACTGAAGCCTGAGGACACAACACAAAGGCAGCATGCTGCCCAGTCGGCCCTGTTGTCCTGAAGCTCCAGCCTTCCATCCTTCGTGTTTTGTGACTGGCTGCAGTTTGTGCGCCGCTCATGCTCATGTGCGCAATCCCTGGATAGGTGGTTGCCATGGTTTCCTGGGTCACATGCGTGGGTTTCCTATAGCCAGCAGCAGCAGCAGCAGCGGAAGAAGAAGATGATGCTTGGACCTAAAACCCAGAGCCATTTTCAGTGAGCATAACCCAGAAACGTCCGTGCACAGACTGGCGGCCAGCAGATTATTCCTGATCCTGTTGCTGGTTTTATATAAATATATTCGCAGCAAACCGGTTTGGTCCACATCCATAGACTGAAACCAGGAATGAGTATAGAAATTCCTGAAGGACTGACGGAGCTGTTGCAGAGCTTTACCGTGGAAGTGTTGAGGAACCAGCCCAGGGACTTGCTCGAGTTCGCGTTGCAGTACTTCACCCAGCTGAAGGACAGCGAGAACAAAGAGGCCGCCTCCTGCAATGAGCAGAATTCGGCTCCGCGCGCGGGGAAAGCGGTCAATTTCATTGACGAGGCCATGCAGATCGATTCGGAGGACGGAGAGGAGGAGGACGACGATGACGAGGAGTTCACAGGTGCTCATGATTTCTCTCCGCTGTGTGTCAGGATGCGCATGCATGTGGCTGACATTCATGTTGTTCGGAGCATGCACGGCAGCGTGCAGGATAAAAACACTCTTGCCTTCCTGTCAGGTGCCATATGGAGGATGCTGCTGATCCCGTTTTTATAAATGCTCAACCTGCTGCAGAATTATTGTGCTTCTTTGTTTTATTAAAGCTCCGCACTGATTATTATTGTTTCAGATGCAGGAGCCCCCCGACTAATGGGGCCTGACAATCCACCCTCATTAGCTTATAGTAAAATATGGCACATGCAGTCTATTCAAGCAATCCACAAACAGACATTGCATGTATATTTTTGTGTGTTTTCTGAAGTGGTGTTATTCCTCCACATCAGTTTGTGCAGCATTGCAATCAGCAGCTGGCACCACAGCATCCCAATGAGTCTGAGAGCGGCCGTGTTACATAAGGGCAGGTGCACCACATTTATTAGGTAAAATGTCCCTTTTTTAAAGGCCATGTTTTCCATTGAGCTCCCCTGGTCCACACTGGTTTGCAGGATGTCCATGAATGAGACCCGTTAATGTAAATTTCATTCTGATCTGGAGAGCCTGTGGTCTGTGGAACACATTTGATTTTTTTCCCTTCTCATTTAAATTATTCAGAGGTCCCAAACCCACTTCACAGCAGCTGTCCTTATTCAGGTTTTCACCCCTCATGAATATGGAGGCTTAAAGTGATAGTCCAGGGTCTTTTGAAGTTGGGTTTTGTGGAAAGGTTATAAACATTTAGTAGAAAGCTCTGTGAGGAAATGACTGGAGTGACGAGCTAACAGCGAGTCAGAGCAGGGCCAAGACCAACATGACTGGGTGTCATCTTAACACAATTCTTGTAAATTCAGTTTATTTTTAACATGGTAATGTTTATAAACCTTTACATCATCACTGATTTTGTATTACATGTTTGTTTTTTTATACATTGATTATATGGTTCTTTGAAAGTGCAGCAGCAGGTAGCTGTAGCACCTGCTGCTGCAGCCACTTCTACCGTGAGCCTCCAAAAACACACACAATGCAAGTAATGCATGGACGATGCAATTAATGCTATTTTTCACATTGCACAGTATTCCTGCAGAAATATAAGTTCAAGGTAATGGTATGTTCAAGGGACAGTTTCATTACCAGCTTCTTTCGGCTGCTCCCCTCTGCAGCGGCGCCACAGCGAGTAAGCGCACATGAGAGTCATCGTTTTAAGCCAGATGCTCGTCCTGATGCAACTTGGGCTCAAACTCAGCCTCAGGATTAAAAGATCGCAGCATTAGACCGAGCTGCCACGGCCCTATAGAACATAAGCACAGAAACAAAACGCATTTGCATATTAGAATATTAAAGGTTGATAAGAGATGACATGTAAAATTTCTCAAACTGCTTTGTTCATGGCAGACTGTACATTTCCCCATTAAATTAACCAAAGTTGATAAGATTAATCAATATTGCCAAGATGTTGATGCATAAAGTGTCTCACGCTGCAGTGGAAGTGTTACCTGCTTCTTGTTTGTAACCACAGAATTCTGTAAATAACCCTAATCTGTAAACTTGACAGCAATATGTCCTGGGATGGAAGTGTGACTGGTCCAGGTATGGAGCTGGGGACAGGCACCAGCTCCATAAACTACAGCTTTCCATGAACTTATTAGAAATTTTGAAGATTACAGATTTCCTTTGTCGTCACCACGAATTTTGCATTACGCAGATATTTACCCAGAAATCTGTGCTTGTTTGTAAGTCCAATTAAGATAAGATAAGATAAGATTAGAACTTTATTGTTCCCGCATGAGGGCAGCACAGTGGCGCAACTGGTAGAGCTGCTGCCTCTCAGCGAACAGGTCCCTGGTTCAAACCCCGGTCCAGGGGCCTTCTGGGTGGAGTTTACATGTTCTCTCTGTGCATGTGTGGATTTTCTCCGGGTACTCTGGTTTCCTCCCACAGACCAAAAACATGCATGTTAGGCTGATTGGTAACTCTAAATTGTCCCTAGGTGTGAGTGAGAGAGTGAATGGTTGTTTGTCTCGTTTGTCTCTATGTGTCCCTGCGATGGACTTGCGACCCGTCCAGGGTGTACCCCGCCCCTCGCACAGTGATTGCTGGACATGGGCACCAGCGACCCCCGTGACCCAAAATGGAATAAACGGGTAAAGAAAATGGATGGATGGATGTTCCCGCATGAAATTGTTGTGCCAGAGTTTCAGTACAAAGGAACATACACAAGATATAAAAAGAACCCCAGAGAATATTTAAAAAAATGGTAAATTGACTGTACTTATAGCACTTTTCTATCTTATAAAGTTACTCAAAGCTCTTTAAACTACAATCTGTGTCTCATTTACCCATTCATATAACACTCTACTAGATATATACAAAGAATAATCAGTGCTTTATCACATTCATGCACTGATGGGACACACATCGGAGGCATTGAGGGGTTCAGTGTCTTGCCCAGGGACACTTTGACATGTGACTGCTGTTGGAATTGAACCCTCAACTCTCTCAGTGAAGGACAACTGCTCTAACCGCTCAGCCACAGCCGCCCCAGATAACTGAGAATATAAACAATAACAGAATATAAAAAACAACAGAGGATATAAAAATAGCAGCAGTTAAGTTTTAAAACAGGTCGGGTGCAGACATTTAGTGGCGATAGCAGCATTATATATTTGACCAATATAAATGCAAAATGCATAAAGGGGGACATAAAGGCAAGACTGCGTGATAGTTGAGTTTTAATCCACTTTGGTCAGACCAGCTGTTAGATTGTGTCTCAGGTCAGAGTTAATCTTTTATAACAGGTAAAATATTAATAGTAACCTTTCCACAAAAAAATCCCTTCAAGTCATTCAGACTACCCCTCTAATAATGAATCAAGTACAATGAGTTTGAACATCACAATAACTTAAACCCTTTTCAAGAATTAAAGACCTAGAATTCCTTGATGGAATACAAAGTGTCTGCCACCTTTCATGCCAAAGTTTTAGTCTGAATTCATTTTATGACGAAGAATGGTGACGTCACAGCTTGAGAACAAAGTTCTGCAACATTATGACATCTCAGACCATGTGTTGGGAACGAGTCTCAGCTACTACCACGTCAAAGTTTAGCTGCATGTTTGTAAAATGTGCTGAGGTACAGCCTCTGTAGTGTTGGATGAACACAAAAATGGCTCTCTTGAATGAAGTTGGCTCCAGTGATACATCCAGTGAATATTTCCTGAAAGTTTCATAAAAAAACAAGAAAAAACTTAGTGGTTCATGAAATACTGTAATTTTGTTAATAATCAGAGTTGACTTCAAATAGTTAAAGGCACAATTTTAAACTAATCCAACAGAGCATGTGTTGAGGATCAGTCTCAGCTAGAGTTTAGGTCAATAAGTGTAAAATGAAGAGTTTAGCACAAAGACTAATTCCATTTTTAATTGGTTTGACTATAAAGTCCATCAGATGCACATCCACTGATTGTGTTCTGCAAGTTTCTTTAAAACCCTCTGATAGTTCATGAGGTATATTAGCAACAGACGCACAGATATGAGCGAAAACATTTTCATCTGTCTTGGCCTGTGGCGCGTCATCGTAACTGTGTGAGCAGCTGACGTTGGGACAAAATGTAACGTGTGGCGTTCATGTTTTTCAGCTCCGGTGATAAACAGATTCATCAGAAGAGCATCGGGTGAGTTACAGTCTGCTGCTTGTTGAAGCTGTTAACAGCAAAGAGTCTGGACAGGATCACTGCAGGAAACTATCTGACACGGGAACACGTGGGCTGCACCGCCGCGCTGAAACTTTCCATCTGTTTCTCTTCATGTCTCCTCTTTATAATAATAGCATTGATTTATAAGAGCATATGAATCCACTCTGTCGTGCACTCAGTTTATAATGTCAGTGAGTGACGTGGGTGGAGAAATCAGGACAAGAAGTGATACTTTAATTATCTCTGGCTAAGAATAGTAACGTTGTAGCTTCAGTGCAACAGGAGCTCTGTTTGAACTGTTTGCTGCAGTTTTGCTGATATGAATCATAAATTAATGATTCTTTACAACTGTTTTAGACTTTTCTTTTTCTCTGTATGCATTAAAAAGTGAGAGTAACTGTACATAAAATAAAATAAAATAAAAATCGAATGTATTTGTTATAGTTTATTTTGGTGATGGTTTATTCGTAAAGTTTATGTCAGAGATGACTTTAGTAACTTCTCTGTAAAATCTCTTGTGTCAGCGCTTGTCTCTTTGAATGGGGGAGTTTAGATCTTTGGAAGTGGGGTTTTGTGGGAACTATATCAACAAACAACATCTTACCTGTTGTAGATCACTCTTTAGAAAACTCAGTAAAAAAAAAAAAAAAGGCAGAGAATAGAGTAGTTCTGAAAATTGAGGAGTTGACGGCTGTTTAAAGAACAAAGTAGATCACCGCTGCCCAAAAACAACTCCGGTATCAAAGATTTCACGTGAACTTTGTTTTACAAAACTGTCAGTTTACAACAAAAACATTTCGTAGTTATTGACAACCACACGCAGCAGGAGCAGCAGTTAGCAGGACCTCGTCTGGCAGGAATATTATCATATTCATGTGTAATGCAAAGTTGACTGTTACGTGACAAAGTTTGCCTGAAGTGTTATTAGTTTTAAGAGTTTAGTTGCTTTAAGATGGAGCATTCTACTTCGCTTTTTGCTCCACCTATACTAGCTGTTAGCTTGTCAGTTTGGTAAGAAATAAACTTTTCCACCAAACTGAATCTGTATAAAGAACCGTCTACAACAGGTAAGATATGAACTGTTTACAACCTTTCCACAGAACCACACTTCCAAATATCAGAATTGTCGCTTAAAGACCGTTTAATTATCCATCCATCCATTTTCTTTACCCGCTTATTCCATTTTGGGTCACGGGGGTCGCTGGTGCCCATGTCCAGCAATCACTGTACGAGGGGCGGGGTACACCCTGGACGGGTCGCAAGTCCATCACAGGGACACATAGAGACAAACGAGACAAACAACCATTCACTCTCTCACTCACACCTAGGGACAATTTAGAGTTACCAATCAGCCTAACATGCATGTTTTTTGGTCTGTGGGAGGAAACCGGAGTACCCGGAGAAAACCCACGCATGCACGGAGAGAACATGCAAACTCCACCCAGAAAGGCCCCTGGACTGGGATTTGAACCAGGGACCTGCTCGCTGAGAGGCAGCAGCTCTACCAGTTGCGCCAGCATGCTGCCCCCGTTTAATTATTATTTTTATTATTATTAATCTTTTATTATGTCAGCTAAATGGGTCAACAACGGAAGAGTCTTGAGTAGCTGTATTTCTGATCTCTGATCAATCAATCAATCAATCAATCAATCAATCAATCAATCAATCAATCAATCAATCAATCAATCAATCAATCAATCAGCTACTTAGACTACAAGCATGTCTTAAAGACATAAAAACCTGGATGACTCTTAATTTTCTCCTTTTGAACACAGACAAGACTACGGTTTTGGTTTTCGGACCTGAACATCGTAGGAATGAATTTTTCAGTCTTTCTCCCTCCTTAGATGGCATTAATCTGTCCTCCTGCTCTAATGTTAAAAATCTTGGTGTTATTTTTGATCAGGACATGTCTTTTATCCCCAACATTAAAAACGTTACTAGAACCTCCTTCTTCCACCTGCGTAATATCACTAAAATTAGAAACATCTAAAAATGATGCAGAAAAACTGGTTCATGCATTTGTCACGTCTAGACTGGACTATTGCAATGATTTATTATCTGGGTGTCCAAATACTTCTTTAAAACGTCTTTAGTTAATCCAAAATGCTGCTGCCAGAGTCTTAACTGGAGTTAGTGGGAGAGATCATATCTCTCCAGTTTTAGCTTCTCTCCATTGGCTCCCTGTCAAATCCAGAATAGAATTCAAAATCTTACTTCTAACCTACAAAGCTCTCAACAACCTAGCTCCATCTTATATTACAGATCTTATTGTTCCATATTTTCCTAACAGAGCACTTCGCTCTCAGACTGCAGGTTTACTCGCGGTACCTAGAGTTTTCAAAATCAGAATGGGAGGAAGATCTTTCAGTTATCAGGCTCCTCTCTTGTGGAACCAACTTCCAGTTTCTGTCCATGAGGCTGACACATTGTCCAGTTTACAGACTGGGATTAAGACTTTCCTTTTTGCTAAATCCTATAGTTAGGGTTGGATTCTTATGCTGCTATAGGCTTAGACTACTAGAGGACAAATTGACCTCATTTCCTTAAATGAATTGTTAAAATTGGGTGGCACAACTGGTAGAGCTGCTGCCTCTCAGCGCGCAGGTCCCTGGTTCAAATCCCGGTCCGGGGGCCTTTCTGGGTGGAGTCTGCATGCTCTCTCCGTGCCTGCGTGGGTTTTCACCAGGTACTCCAGTTTCCTCCCACAGACCAAAAACATGCATGTTAGGCTGATTGGTAACTCTAAATTGTCTCTAGGTGTGAGTGAGAGAGTGAATGGTTGTTTGTCTCATTTGTCTCTATGTGGCCCTGTGATGGACTGGAGACCCCTCCAGGGTGTACCCCGCCCCTTGCACAATGATTGCCAGACATGGGCACCGGCGACCCCCATGACCCAAAATGGAAGAAGCGGGTAAAGAAAATGGATGGATGGATGGATGCATTGATCTGTATGACTCTCAATAGATCGGTATTTGTTATATATAAAATGAGTGGATATTAAACAAGTTCTGTCAGGCCGTGGAAAGAGAAACTTCCTTTAATGTTGACTTTAGAATTTGTAAAACTACAAAACCTTTTACTTGCAACAAAGTTAGCTGACATAAGAATGTTGTTTTTAACAGAATCTCATTTAGTGAAAAGCTCAAACAAAACCTGAATTATTTGAACTGCAAACATACAGTAGTTAACATTTCTAAAGTCACTTACTGATCAAATACATCCATCTGTTTAAGCAATGAATAAGTTCTAGCAGCAGATTTTTTAACACCTGGATGAAAATAACAAGGTGTTTGTGACCAAAACTCCAAGTCCCACTCTTTAGATGAATTGGCATTTAAGTGTGACAGAGAAAAATAAAATACTTAAACTTCCCTGTAAACACTGTAGACTGCTTTATAAGTTCATGTGATTGTGGCTGTAAATATAAAAGTGGTTGTAGTTATAAATAAAATAAAGTATGACAATAAAAATGCAGTCCTTTGTGTTTCTAATGCAGTGTGTGCTGAGGCATTCAATCCTGATGAAGATGATGAAGATAAAGAGCCAAGGGTAAGACACCTCATATGGCATCAGGAACCTTTAAGTTTCTGATCAACAATATGTCTTCTCCCTGACGTGTGTCTTGTCCTACAGGTCACCCATCCCAAAACTGATGAGCAGAGACAGCGACTACAGGAAGCATGCAGGGACATTCTTCTGTTCAAGAACTTGGATCAAGTGAGCGCATTCATTCTTTTGCACAAGGCTGTTTGTTAAATTGCAGAATAGATGAGCTGCTGACAGCATGATGCAGAACAAAACTGTAATATGTTTGAAGCAAAAATAAAACACGTCGTCATTCTGCAAAAATTGTTGAAAGCCTCAAAATGTAAATAAAATGTGCTTCTTGCCCTCTCAGGAAGAGATGTCTCAGGTTTTGGATGCCATGTTTGAAAAGCTCTGCACAGAAGGAGAGCACATCATCGATCAAGATGATGACGGGGATAACTTTTATGTAATTCAAAGGTGCTTATTCATAAAATTTTTATCTATGCGTTTAAGAAATATACATCAAGAGTTTCATGGTGACAAAACATTTTCATCAAATGTCAAAATATGACTTCCAATCTTACAACGTTCTTCTTCAGTGGGACTTTCAACATTTCCGTGAAGGTAGACGGTGCGGACAAGTTGGTGGGCTGCTATGACAACAAAGGGAGTTTTGGAGAACTGGCTCTGATGTACAACACCCCGAGAGCAGCCACGATAATTGCAACCTCACCTGGAGCTCTTTGGTGCCTGGTGAGTAAACCAGAACACACACAGCAGGAGCACAGCTGGCACCTGGCTCAAGCTGAGCCCCGTGCATCTGTCAGCCGGCACAATTTAAAGAAACATCCAGTTTGTTTGGAGCTGCACTGAAACCTGATGCAACTGAGTCAAATGCAGTGTCCAGTTCAGAAAATACGATTTAAAAAAACCCACTGGATGCAAGAAAATTAACAACATGTAAAATGACTATTCATGTGTTTTAATGCTAACTAGAAAAATGAGCATTTTCTGTGAAAATGTAGTGAGACTGCTGGGTGCTGAAGGACTGCTGAAATGTGCAATAACAGACTAAAAAACAAACAGGATGCATAAAAAGACTAAAAGACACATCAAAATATAATAAAGGACATTAAAAGACTGAAAAGAGCACTTTATTAAAACAAAAAGGACACACAGGAAAACAAAATATATGAATAGACAAAAAAAAAAATAATAAAAAAATCAAGTTTCAAGTAGGTTTATTATCATTTTTAATTTAATTTATTTTTATTTTATTGATTCATTCCAGACATGTCAAAACCACTGCACAGGGTGTATCAACATCAATACCAATTTGAATCTGCGCATCCATATATTTCCATATGTACATTTATACACACATACATACATGCACATTTGAACACACAGAACCCCTTGCAAAGCAACCCACATCTGCAAATACATCTGCTTTGACTGAATGCACACAAAATTAAAAATAAATAAATAAATAAATAATAATTTCATCCCATTGTGCACACACCTATGCATGTACACATACCCATACACATGCACACACACAAATCCCATTTAACATGTCTGAAAAGGGGTAGGAAGAAGTAAAACATTGAATCCTACCCTTTCTCCAATATCCAATACTCAATAGTTACACCTTACACCCATCTGGTTTTACGAGTCTTATGAGTCCATGAGAGGAAGAAAAGAAACAACAACATATATATATATATATATATATATATATATATATATATATATATATATACACATACACATATAAAACAATGCAGAAAGTAATCCAACATTACTCCAATGGTAAATTGTAGAGTTGTAAACACACACCTAAAGTCATTCATCTCCAACTACACACTCTTACATACACATTTACACACCCACACACACAATTCCAACCATCTCCCCAATACAACCTGACTTATCCCCATCCAGTACTGTACATACACCCACACAGAACACACTCATATGTACAATCCTATTTACAACATTAGAGACACCCATTCAGGTTCACCTCATTTCATCACATGTGGTACATGAGGTGGAATGAAATTGTGTACACAGGGTCCCAGTTACATATACAATAGTAAAATATAAACTGAAATAAACAGTACTAAGGATCTAAGATATACGCTGAGAAATACACTAAACACTTAATAGTACAAAAACAATACGCCAAACAACAGCAGCACAAGCGTGAGTCTGTATGTGCAGATGAGTACGAATGAACACAGCATCATGACATAATCAGCAACATAAGATCAGCAGCATGATAATCAGCAGCACATAGCACCAATCAATGTGGCATTACAGTATTTTTTTTCACAGTGATGATTCTGATTAGAGATTCATGAGTCTAACAGCTTCAGGGTAGAAGCTGTTCCTCAGTCTAGTGGTTCTGCACTTAATGCTCCGCAACCTTCTACCTGAGGGGAGCGGGGCAAAAAGTGTGTGTGCTGGGTGAGTGGGGTCTTTCATGATGCAGGTTGTCCTCTTCCTGCATCTAGAGATGTAGATGTCTGTGATGGTGGGGAGGCTGACTCCAACAGACTTCTGTGCAGCCTTCACCACAAATATGAATAAAGAAACAAAATGATGCACAAGGAGACAGAGAAAACACATAAAAAGATGCAATATATGCACCTCATTATGCAAAATATGCATAAAAATGACAAGAAGGAGAAATAAGGAGACAAGTGAAGCAAGTATGCTGAAATAGCTTTCAAATAGCACAACGTCTTTAAAGGATTTGAAGAAATTACAGTACATTTCATTAAAAAAGTAAATAAATTTATATATTTTAAAAAGAGTGGTACATGGTGGTACAGTGGTTAGAGCTGTCACCTCTGATAATTGCATGATTGCCTCCCAGGCTGAGGTCTTCCTGGTTCGAGTTTGCATGTGATTGCTCCCAGTTGTCTTCATGTACTCCAGCTCCCTCCCACAGATCAAAAACATTCATGTTAGAGTATTTACCATGATGCTTACGATATGATCTCTCCACGTTTGTGGTCACATGATCTAGGGCAAACAAACTTCCGACAAACTAGACAACTGTAATGGCAGATGTTGTGAAGCTGATGGCATTACCAGACACTCATTGAGATGTTTTGAAGGGTCAGTCAACAATGAGGCAAAAAGAGAGCAAGAAGATTTTGAAATAGCTGTGCATCAGTTTTATGACGTTATTTTGAAGGAAATCTATCTAAGCGTGTGCCAAACACCCAGTTCACACCAGTGATTCAGACTGATTGTTTATTAAGCAGTGTAAACAAATGTTCTGGAAAGTGTGTGTTACGTACTTCACCAAATAACAGTATTCATTCATGACTAATGATACAATGTAATTATCTAAAACGTAGATTTACTGGGGCAGCACGGTGGCGCAACTGGTAGAGCTGCTGCCTCTCAGCAAGCAGGTCCTTGGTTCAAACCCCGGTCCAGGGGCCTTTCTGGGTGGAGTTTGCATGTTCTCTCCGTGCATGCGTGGGTTTTCTCCGGGTGCTCCGGTTTCCTCCCACAGACCAAAAACATGCATGTTAGACTGATTGGTAACTCTATATTGTCCCTAGGTGAGAGAGAGAGAGAGTGAATGGTTGTTTGTCTTGTTTGTCTCTATGTGGCCCTGTGATGGACTTGCGACCTGTCCAGGGTGTACCCCGCCCCTCGCACAGTGATTGCTGGACATGGGCACCAGCGACCCCCGTGACCCAAAATGGAATAAGCGGGTAAAGATAATGGATGGATGGATGGATGTAGATTTACTGTCCGTTACCTCCATACACACAAACATGTTGTAGTTGACATCTATCAGTGTTGTATTCATAGGTGTCACAACAATTATAGGTGAAGTGGATGTGTCCCCCTCACATAAAAAAAAAAATCATTTTGGACCCCCCCCCCCCCCCCCACACACACACACACACACACACACACACCCACACACATTTACCATGAAATATTAGTTCACCCAGCACTTTTTCTATTGCTACATTAATGAATCCATTCCACTAGATTGATAGGAGAATACTCAAACCACTAAAAGTCCACTCTGGGTTTTCTACAGCAACTCTCCCCACCACATGCAGTGTTTTTCCGAGGTCACTTGGCTTGGCAGGGTGCTCATCTCTTCAGGGGGTTTTGTTGATGGGATGGGGGAGGATGGGGAGATATCTCTATTTTGTGCGCTAGCTTAGAGCTACAATAGTGCCCGCAGTTGTTGACAGGGGTGGAGGGTTAAGATATGTGAGAGAAGCGGAGCATGCTCTATTCACACAAGGAGAGCTGTTGGTCAGGATACTTCTTGTTGTGGCATTAACTCTAAAATAGTTATTAAATCAAGTGTTTACTTATGGAGGTAAACGTAGATGTTTAACAACCTGTTAAAATACAAATGACATCTACTTTATTCAACATTTTATGGGTGAGAACCAGACACCCGCCCCCACCCCCCCCACACACACACCACCACCACCACCACCACCAGTGTGTTCCTCCCACATTACAAATGCTTCTGACACCAATGGTCATATTCAACTGTACTTGAGGTTGGCTGCAAGCCTTTATCCACCGTTTACACTTCTCCAAACTATATGTTTGGGAAATGGAATAAAGTGAAATTAAATCTGTCCTCTGTCCTAATCTGTCCTAAACTACATCTGTCCTCTAACTGATGTAGTGTTCTAAGGGCTAGGTTAGCTTTGTAGCTTCACTACAATTACATTTTAAATAACGGGTTCTCTCTTTTTCGAGCTAATTACAGCCATGTGACAGAAGTAACTGTGCGTAGATGGTTTAATCAGTGACATGAGACGTTAATTTTCTCTGACCCATCAAAATAAATTGGTCATTTATTGAACAGAATCAAAATTTAACATCAAAACATTGTACACTTGATTAGACTGATCTGGTTCTGAATAATAAAACTTGGCACGTTTTACTTAATAAAAACAACAGACATTTCTGAAGATATCTGGATTAATTACTGGCAAGATAGAAGTTTAAAGATGGGAAAAAATGGAGGAGTTTAAAGGGAGAGTGGAAAATGGAGGAAGATGTATGTCTGTAGACCAGAACAACACACTCCTTTCAAACGCAGCTCGCCCTCGGTCCACTTAGTGCGTGAAGCTCGTGAACAACTCTTTACCTTGGCAGAGTATGGGTCCGCTACGGTCAAGAGGTCCCTGGCACGCTACCTTTCAGCGTCTCCTCAGGGCGGCTGCGACTCGGCAGATGTCGTGAGATACTCCGTTCAACAGAACAAACTTCCTCAGAAGTTGTAGGGCATTCGCCTGGTGATAGTCACAGCGAGGCGTCGTGACTCCTGCAGAGATGGATGACTCCATCAGACTGGAAAACTGAGTCCGAAGTTCCACTCAGCAGTGGACAAACTCCATCGGATTCCAGGAAGACTTCAGACGACTCCAGAACTCTACTCCAGAAGTTCAGAAAACAGCCTATAGTTCCAGGAAGTGTCGACTTTTAAAGAGTTCTGCTTCTGGTCACTTTAGTTCGTCCTGATTGGTTGAAGCAACCAACAGGGGTGTGGTCCTAGTGACGTCAAAGGGTTTTTTCAAGTCAAGAAAACAGCAGGAATGTTTTAGGAACAGACAGAGAAATGTTTTGGCGAAGTGAGAAACACTGCAGGTGCCAGTTTCTTATTTACTGTCTGAGAGTTTAAAAACACGACAGCCCGTTCTAACAACTTGTTTTTGACTGTCTCCGACTTTGACCGACATCACTACTTCTCATTTCAGACAGAAGATCAAAATGCATAATTACTTTGTAAATAGACATTTAACTTGATTTCTAATTTAAATGAGTATTTAAAAAAATCATTGATACTGTTTCACAGTTGATTTAAAATGAGTGGTTCACTTCAACATTTAGAAATGGTATGAACTAAACACACTTTTGATTATCAAGATATTGTAAAATAGTAATGATAATATAAACAAGAGAGTGTTCTTTCAATTGATTAGTTCAGGATACAATTAGAAAGTCTCTGGATGAGCTAATTTGTATTTCTGGATTCAAATCAATATGAAATAACAGTTCCTGTCCATGAAGGTCTTCAGAGGCATGTTTTGGTCGAAGGCCTAGTCCATTACACTGATCAGGATAACACATCTTTAAGTTGCACGTTCCTCAATGACAATGTTTAATTGTTTCCAGAAGATGATTCACACAATCCATTATAAGTGCAAAGCACTGGTAATGACAGTCTCAAAAGTTTGTTGGAGTAAAATGCGGCCAGGTCCTGCAGCTAAAGGGCGATTAGTATCAACTGTGATTGGTCATACACATACAGAATATATTATGAACAAGCAAGCAATAGTGTTTACAATTCCCAAGCCAAGGACTGCAAATAAAAGTTACATTTTTTTTAATAAAGTCATAGCAGATTAATATGTTTTGTTGCTCTTCCATGGAGCGCAGCTGTGACAAATTATTATAGTTAAACAGCAGCTATTGCTGTGGGGGTTTTGCGAAAAAAATTGTGAATAATCAGTATCCTACCTGTTGTAGCGAGTGCTTTGAACAACCTCATTTTGGAGTTTCATCCAGACCAGGCTGAAGTAACAGCAGTTTGAGACCACAACTAAAGTGGATTGTTCTCATTTTCAGCCAACTCCAATCTTAAACAAATCACAAATCATGCTAAATGTATTTATTTATTTTTACATATAAACCTTTACATAGCTGTCAAGTTCACATCGCATGGCTGTTAACACAGAATTGTCTGGTTATTTATGGGAACTTTGGTCAGAATTAAACTTAATTCTCCAAACTGAAGTTAGTCAAAGAGCTATCTGCAACAGGTAAGATATTACCGGTAACTTTTCTTACCCTTTCCACAAAACCCCCCTCTTCAAATACGTGAACCATCCCTTAAATAACCAAGTACATCCTGCACTATAAGGATTCTTTGAATGTAAGAACGAGTTAAAAACAGTAGTTTAATTAACCCCATCTTCTGTTACAGCAACATTTGTTCGTGGATTCAGCTGCTGCTTCACCTCAAGCAGTTTAAATATGCACGACCCTTTACAGTTCATGTCCTTAAAACGTGCCCCGTTGTGTCATCCGTGAGAAGCTGCTGATATTTTCCCACCACTCAGCATGTGCTGATTAATCAGTGAACAAGATGGAGTCCCTGTTTGAAGTGCATCAGATCAGGGGTTGGACAATGTGTCAAAGGGTCTCTGAGCTGACAGAAGGTCACTGTGGAGTTGAACTGTCCAGTGGGGTGAAGCACTCTGTATGGGTTTGCTTCATTTAGCAACACATCCACATCCTCTGCTTGATGGCGCCCTCTGCAGCTGCGTCTGCTTCCTACAGTATGATGTCTACAACTGAAAGTCCTTCATGCAGTCCTTTTGTTTTTTAAAAGAATGATATACATGCTTCAAAACATTTGTTTTAATTATTGTTTTTTTATTTTTATTTTGACATTTTTTGCACTGGAATAAATCAAGATAACAAAAATGCTGATGTTTTTTATTTTGCCAGTGCATGTGTTGCTAACTGAAAGTCCATAGACTTACCAACTGCATAAAGTGTTTTTATCAGACTCCAGGTAGTGTACAGAGATCAGAGTAGTCTGGAAATGTAGGAAAAGTGCAGAATCAAAAAGATATTGTCCTTTGCTCTCGTGCTGGACCCCCTCACCCATGTAATGTTATTGTTTATGTACTTTTAGGTTCAAATAGAAGTGGAGTTCAGTGGGGAAACATCTAGCTGTTAGCTGTGGCTGTTAGTGTTTGCATATAACCCTGGATGGATTCTATGTACACAACTGTACTGCAACACTGGCAACGTTTAACTGGTTGTTTTAGGACAGCAATTATCCACTATGGTTGATGCCTCACTCAGATCTCAGACTAGCTGTTAGCTTGTCAATCCAGTCAGAATTAAACTCTATTTTTCTAAACTGAGGTCATTCAAAGAGCTATCTACAGCAGGTAACATGTTTATTGTTCATAACATTTCCACAAAACCACTCATCAGAAAATCTCTACTACTGCTTTAGGATGATTCATTGGATATATATATATATATACATATATAAATATATATATATATATTCTAGTAACCAAAAGGGGAAAGCATTTCACATAAAGCCAAGTCTATCTATCTATCTATCTATCTATCTATCTATCTATCTATCTATCTATCTATCTATCTATCTATCTATCTATCTATCTATCTATCTATCTATCTATCTATCTATCTATCTATCTATCTATCTATCTATCTATCTATCTATCTA